TTCGTGCGTGCTTCAATATCAGCTGAAAAAAGAGGATGGGGGGGGGTGGGTGGGTAGGAAGTGGAACCCATGTATGCTCCAAAATGGGGTGGGAAAACTGCCCCGTCCAACCCTGCCCTGTGGCAGCCTGGACCCCCAAACAGGGGCACCCCCTGAACCAGGGCACCCTCAGCTCCGTGGAAGGGGCTGTCATGTGTGTCCCCCCCATTTCCCCCTTTCCTTTGACATTTGGGATTTTTTAACTGCTTGGGCACTGAGCGGGGGGAGGGCTTGTGTCAGTGGGTGCCCTGTGGGTGCTGGCCGTCCCCGCTGGGAGGGTCTGGGTGTCCTGCTGACTGTCCCCATCCACCCCCCAGGTCTGCTGCTGCAGGAGGACCGGCTGGACGCCCTCTCCCTGCTCTGCCTGACCTCCCTGCCCAGTTTCTGCCTCCTCTTTGGGGCGGCCGTGGCGCTGGAGGTGGGTCCCTCCTGGGAGGGTGTCCTGCGCTACGATGGCACCCTCTGGGCCTGCATCCTGCTCAGCTGCCTGAGCTCCGTCCTCTACAACCTGGCCACCTTCTGCGTCCTCTCCCTCACCTCTGCCCTCACCGTCCACGTCCTGGGCAACGTCACCGTGGTGGGCAACCTGCTGCTCTCCCGCCTGCTCTTCGGCAGCCACCTGAGCGGGCTCAGCTACCTGGGCATCGGGCTGATGCTGGCTGGGATGTTCATGTACCACCAGCCGGACCTCATCGCCGCGCGCTGGGCGGCACGGCCGGGCCGGGGCCCCCCCCGGAGGGAGTAGGGTCCCCGCGGGGAACGGGGGCGGATGGAAGCCTGCGGGGCGTGAGCGAGCGTGGCTCTGCGGGTGCGCAGGCGGGCTGGTGGGTGCACACGTGTTTGCTGGTGTGCACGGCTCTGGGTGCACGCTGGCGCGCTGAGGCGCGTGGTGCTGTGCACACAGATGTGCGTGGTGGTGTGCGCACACGTGCCGGTGTGCGTGGCCCTGTGTGCACACGTGTGTGCTGGTGTGCACGGCTCTGTGTGCATGTGGGTGTGCCGGGGTGCATGGCATTGTGTGCACACACACATGTGCTAGTTTGCACGGCTCTGTGTGCACATGGGTGTGCCAGTGTGCGTGGCATTGTGTGTGCTGGTGTGCACAGCTCTGTGTGCACATGGGTGTGCCGGGGTGCATGGCCCTGTGTGCACACACTTGTGCTGGTGTGCACGGCTCTGTGTGCACATGGGTGTGCCAGTGTGCATGGCCCTGTGTGCACACACGTGTGCCGGTGTGCACGGCTCTGTGTGCACATGGGTGTGCTGTTGTGCATGGCATTGTATGCACACACATGTGCTGGTGTGCACGGCTCTGTGTGCACATGGGTGTGCTGGTGTGCGTGGCCCTGCGCACACACACGTGTGCACAGCTCTGTGTGCACGTGTGTTTTCTGGTGCACACAGATCTGTGTGTGCCTATGCTGGTTTGCACTTCTCTGTGCACGTATGCTGGTTTGCACAGCACCGTGCACATGGATGTACTGGTGTGCACAAGCTCTTTGTGCACACGTGTGTCCGCTGCTGTGCGTGGCACTGTGTGCATGTGTGTGTCTTGGCGTGCACAGCACTGTGCACACGTGTGTGTTGATGTGCACAGACTCTGCATGTGCAAGTGGCTCTGTGTGCACAGCTCTGTGCGCGTGGGCACGTCTGGGTGTGCACAGGCTCTGAAAGTGTGAGCGGGTCTCTGCGTGCGGCTGTGCGTGCATGGGGTGCGTGTGTGTTGGTGTGTGAAGGCTCTACGTGTGCAAGCAGGTCTCACGCATGTGGGCACGTGTACATCGCTGTAGACCCTGTGTATGTGTGAACGTGTCCGTGTGCACGACTGTGTGTGTGTGTGGGCATGCACGTGCTGGTGTGCACAGGTTCGGTGTGCACAAGTGTGTTGCTGTGTGTGCAGAGCCTCATGTGCAGGGGTGCACATGTGTGTTGGTGTGCACAGGCTCTGCGTGTGCAAGCAGATCTTGTGCACGTGGGCAGGGGTGTGCTGCTGTGCACGGGTGCTGTGTGCACAAGCCTGCACAGAGCCCGATGTGCAGGTGTGCGCAGGTGCGTTGGTGCACACAGTCTCCGTGGGCACGTGTGCCCAGGTTCTGTGTGTGCAAATACAGAGCCACGCGTGCACAGGGGCGTGTGTGCGCGCGTGTGCGGGCTGACAGGTACTGGTGTGCACGCAGGCTCTGCGGGTGAGCAGGTGCCTGTGTGCGTGTGCAGCTGCGTGCGCTGGCTCTGCCCGCCTGTCCCCGCGTGCACACGCAGGCTGGGCACGCTCAGGGACGTGGCTGCAGGTACACGACTGCGCATCCGACTGCTGTCCCGCCTGGGGAAACACAGAGCTGCGTGTGTGCATGTGTGTGTGCGTGTGTGTGTGCGCACGTATGTGCGTGTGTGTGCACGTGTGCGTGTGCGTCACTACTGAGCTCTGCTGGCTGGAGTAAACCCGGGGCTCTGTGTCCCCACTGTTCTCGTGGCCGAACAAGACACCGAGGGACGGGGCGCGTGAGCGTCCCCTCTCCTTTCCCCAACCCCACGTCTCGTGCTGATCCCAGGGGGCTGCCCGTGTTGTCCTCGTCCCCACCGCGCCCTCCCGGCCACCATGGCTCTGGCCCTGTCCCTCCCAGTTTGCCGTGGC